TACCTGTGTGTAGTTCGAGTTTTTAAGACCAAATTATTTGGCAAAAAATTGGGGGTCGACCTCTAAACGGGTAATAGTTTCGTTAGGTTGAAAAATATTTACCAGTAACTACCAGTAAACAATGGAAACGATGCACCAACGCACCACCAGCTGTGAGTGTCAGTACAGTTGCCAGGGCAGATCTCTTGCGTCATCATAGCAAGCCCAAAGTAGCCAAATGCATGGTATGGTATGCACAGGACGATGTAAAACATAAAGTATTCATTTTTTAAAGTTTATTTATAGATACTGTACATAAATTTTTGTTCATTACATTTGAAACATCAATCTTTGTTAATTAAATTTGAAACAAAAGAAAACTACTATACCGTGTTTCTAAATACCGGGTATTTTCATTAAAATATTACATCATAAGTATATTTTACCTTAACTGTGACTGAATGAATATATTCTCAGAAATAAATATGGAAATGTAATATTTTTGCTGAAATGAAGTACGTATTACAGTGGAAAGTGGGATAAAATCACGACGAAAACAATGACTTTCGCTTTCTTTCGTTGTTCAAAAGATTTTACTGTGAAGCAAACCTGTACTGTACATGTACTAAATGATTACGGTACTTAAATTGTTATGTCTATTGCAAATATAGATTGTTTATACAGGTATTCAAATAAATCACTATCTTACAAGAATCCCAGCAATGTAAGTTATATTCACCCAGGTCATTTGGGTGGCAAATTATGAGAAGAGCTTAGTCACTCTTAAGTAATGATAAATAAACATGCAGGATTTCAGCGCCAACCCTCAAATCTTATCTCAAATAAATAAACAAACACCAGACACTCTGTCACCTCACCTCCCGCCCCCCCCATGCTTCCCCCCTCTTCCCATGCTCGCTGGCTACCTCCCTCCTTGCCTTCCTCCTCGTGTTCCCAGACAAAAGATTGGTGATTTCTTTATGTTTATTTTATAGAATATCTCAGACTAAAGTTAGGATAATATAATTTCCATTGCTGAAATCCTTGCAAGACAGAGATTAGTTTAAATATAAGCATCATATATTTTGCTCAAGATATAAAAATTGTTGTACATTAGTGTACAGTACTGTAGTACATTTTATAATATAAAGTTTTCAACTGTATTTTTGGGTAGATTTAAATAAATTTCTACATTTATTTTCATCCATTTACATGCACACACCATACTAAAAGAAATGTAAAAGAAATAAATGACCTTAGTGCAAAGCTGGAGTGCACAAGTACTAATTTGATTACGGTACCAAACTTGTTATGTCTAGTGCGAATTACAGCATGTTTATATTCAAATTAATCATTATCTTACAAGAATCCCAACAATGTTAATTATATTCACCCAGGTCATTTCACTGGCATTTTAAAATGAGAGAAGCTTAGTAGGACTGTTAAATAAACACACAGAGACCTTCGCTCAAACTGTCCAACATATCACCTCAAACCCCCCCCCCAACCCCTCGCTGGGTGGCGTGGCTGGTTCCGTCAGTCTCTCCCTCCCTCCCTCCCAACCCAGCCAGGCTTTTAGCCTTACAGTATTTATCTTACATAATATCCCAGACTAAAGTTAGGAGATTATAATTTGCATTGCTGGAATCCTTGCAAGACAGCCAATAAATTGAATATAAAAGTCATATATTTTGCTCAAGAGATAAAAACTGCTGTACATTAGTGTACAGTACTGTAGTACATTTTATAATATAAAGTTTTTCAACTGTATTTTCAAGTAGATTTACATAAATTTCTTCATTTATTATTCGTCCATTTACATGCACACACCATACTAAGAGAAACATAAAAGAAATAAATGACCTTAGTGCAAAGCTGAAGCGTACATGTACTAATTTGATTACGGTACTAAAATTGTTATGTCTAGTGCAAATTACAGCATGTTTATATTCAAATTAATCAGTATCTTACAAGAATCCGAGCAATGATAATTATATTCACCCAGGTAATTTCACTGGCTTTTTATAAGAGAGAAGCTTAGTCACTTAAGAACTGATAAATATACACACGTTAGACCTGGGCCTGTGCCAACTGTCAAACGTACTACCTCCCCTTCCCTCACGCCCCCTCGCTCGCTCACTTCCTCCCTCCCTCTCCCCCATCTGCCCAGCGTTGCTGGAATCCTTGAAAGACAGTGAATAATTTTAATATAAACGTCATGTATTTCGCACAAGAGTTAAAAATTAATAACCTGTGGTGATTTAAGAGTAAAAGTGTATATGTACGTATATAGTATTCCACATACACGTAAGTATAAACACAAAGTTTATGTGATTATCGGACAACGTCCATTTCGGTTAACGTCACATTTCCAAGAACGTATCTATGTGTGTGTGTGTGTGTGTGTGTGTGTGTGTGTGTGTGTGTGTGTGTGTATATATATATATATATATATATATATATATATATATATATATATATATATATATATATATATATATATATATATATATATATATATATATATATATATATATATATATATATATATATATATATATATATATATATATATATATATATATATATATATATATATATATATATATATATATATATATATATATATATATATATATATTGTAGATTATATTTTAACTGGTTTATTATGTTTCATATGTCATCGCTGTCAGACGTTCACTGCAGTTTATGTTGCCAATATGCCGGAAAGCTGTCGTGCAGCGTGAAGCAACCAAGTCCCTCTTCATCAAGGTGATTGACGTACTAAGACGAGCCTACAGGTAATGTGATCTGGTGGACTGTTTACATTTCTGGTCATAAACTTTTATACTGATACTACTATTTTATAGATACAATACAATACTGTACTGTATACCGGTACTGTACTTGTAATATGTATTGATCACCTTAAGAAGCTTTTCATATTATTCAGTACCTGAAACTAAGTATACAGCGCTGCACTAGTGCTACCTCATGCTTACTAAAAGTTGTGCCTTACTATACTCGTTACCTCAGTGACGTTCAACCTGTGGAATACAATTGTATCATTACACTACAGTATTGAGTCAATGCATTATTGTATTGCCTTTATTGCTTCAATATTTTCATTGCTACCCTGTTGTATTACTGTATCCCTATATCACCATTACTGTACTTCTGTATCTTCATTACTGCACCACTGTATCACCATTACTGTACTACTGTATCACCATTACTGTACCATAGAATCATCAGTGTTCTATTATTTTGTCAATTCAGGAAGTTGGGTCAGTTGTTGGTGAGTGAGGGTCGACTGCCTTCCCCTGACTTGGTGTTCTATCTGACACATCCTGAGCTGGGAGTCCTGGTTCAGGGCCCTTCCCCATCTCTTCTGGCCAAGTACGTAACATTTCTCATTCATTATTGTTCAGTTTTGCACCAATTTCTGTCACGAATGATCAGTTCTGTTAAGTCATCTTCACTTCTGATTCTGTTATTAAAGCCTAATTCTATTGATTCTCTTTTTTGTATATGGATCACTCTTGTACTGTTTTGTTCTTTTTTTTTCACTTTTTCTCACTGAGGTTTAGCACTGTTGATTTTAGTCCCCCTTTTTTTGCAATTGCTGTGCAACTTTGGGGACTTATTTTGTTGCATTTAAGGCCATCTTTTTTAATATAAATAAAATAATTATAGTTAAATTATTATGTAAACAATAAGCAAATTATTTAACTTTATCCTCTTTGCCATTGATTGGCTTGTTACCTGCTTGGGCAGTCAGTCACATCTCTCTTACACACTATTGGCAAGTACTGGGCATATACTTGGCATCATGGCCCTTTGAAATACAGTACAGTATACAAATTTATCTCATTTACCCATAGGTTTCATTGGTTGGTAAGGATGGTGGGGGCAATAATGACAACTTCCATAATACTTATCTTTATTTTGAGAAAGAAAAGTTGAAGTACAACAAGCAGTAAAAATATATTTTCCTCCTCTTCAGTTTTATTCTGTAATATTCACTCATGTTACTCTCCACATACTGTAAGCTGTTCTTCCTCAGGGCAATGAAGCGTCAGCGGCTACACCCTACATTGAACCAGATCAAATTTCCTGAGGTCAATATTGGTATTCCAAAGCCTGTAAGTCTCTCTTTCTCTTCCCACTGTAAGGCTGGATAGCCAGAATTGAAAGTTTACACAGACAGTTAAATACCTGTGTGTGTGTGTGTGTGTGTGTGTGTGTGTGTGTGTGTGTGTGTGCATGCAAGATAGAGAGAGAGAGAGATCCCTATGCCTATGAGTCCCCCATAGGAGCAACATATTGTTTTCTCAATTTTTTCTTCTTGTAGGCAATAAATAATTGTTCATCACTTTTTAATTCTGTTCTAATCCATTTTAAACACAAAGGCTTTTGTGTCTTGGTCCATTAAGTTCACACATACCATATACAATACTGTACCTGCATACAGTATTTGTCTTTTATGGATTTTATGGGGTCCAATGTCAAGCATCCTTAAACTCATTTAAAGAATTTATGATGAAAGGTGGCATAATATACCTTGCCGTACGCACTATGCTGTGGTGCTAAATAGGGGAGACATTAAATTATCTTACAAATGCTGGCTTCTGAAATTACATTTATCTTTTATACATTGTATGTACATTTATTTTACTAAATATATATCCATCTATGATTTCCATATTTTGTTAGTTCATATATACAGTACCTTGTCTTATTATGTATTGTACTTTCATTCCCAGTCTTACTGTATTTGGACACTTAGAGGCAATACAGGTGATGTCATAAATCATGTTCTGGTTTGTTGACAGATGATACACATGATGTCATAGATCACATGCTGTTTCTTTACTCCCATTTGATGTGACATCACTTATCATTTAGTGGTTTGTTTATAATGACATTTTCCCTTTTCATTGCAGTTAACTCCAAAGAAGCAAAATGATGTTGAGGTGATGGGTTTGGGTGAAGTCATCATGGGTACACCAGTGTGTCAAGGAGTGGTGACTGCCCCAGCTAGGGTTGTGACTTGTCTCCAGGAGGCTTCAAACATACAGGTTCAGTATACATGGGGGAAAGGGGAGAGAAAGAAAAGTACAAATGACTACAATCCTTTTTTAAATATTAATAATGAATGTATATAACATTACTACATAGCAATACTGTATTCAAAATTATTTTAAATTCACGTGTCCTGAGGGATGCAAGTTAATACTACAGTACAGTACTGTAATGTTAATATAATAATAATAGTACGGTAATTATTATTATTATTATTATTGTAAAAATTTATAAAAATTATGATTAGTGCTGTGCTAGTAGTAATTGCACTAGTAGTAAGTAATGTAAGTAGTAATAGTAATGGAGTTTCCTATCTGCAGAATGGTGACATCCTAGTGACGATGAGCACAGATGTGGGCTGGACCCCCTACTTTCCTCTCCTGGTGGGCATAGTCACAGAAATTGGTGGACTCATCTCCCATGGTAACCCTTCTGGCCTGTTAGCTTAATCTCTGAATTTTTCTATTTTTTCATTTATTTTGGTCATCAGTTTTATCTGTACAGGTATATAAAAAAATATGTGGTGAAAGTTACCAGCTGGGAATGCATCCCCCCCTCTTTACATAAGTACTAATAGGGGAAAATTTACCCGATACACGGGTGTATTTTCAAATTCGTTATTCACAATGACTTTCTGGAATGCATCCCTTGCGATAACTGGGGTATTCCTGTACAGTATATTATTTCTGTTCATGACTACAATTTTATGACAGGAGCTGTGGTGGCCAGGGAGTATGGTCTTCCCTGTGTGGTGGGGGCTGCTGAAGCTACAACCATTTTGCAGTCAGGTAAGGATAACACCCTTCTATTATTTGCCTCTGTAATGTAAAAATTATTATGTCTTCTGTGAACCTGTATTTAAAATGTAATTTTATAAAATTGGTGATACCATGGTGTTGGATGTGCAATTATTGTTTAATCTTTTATCTCACTTTTTTTTTTCAAAGTTCCTTTTTTCATTTGTTGTGAGGTGGCCAAAATCAAGAACACAGACACATTTATATTTTCTCTTCATTTGCTGTTATTCAGTCTTTCTTACTGCAATAATAGATATGTTCTGCCTTGCTACTTCCCTTCTAAAACAAGGTCCCCAAGTATCTGTTTGATTTACTCCCTCTCACATCATAAAACCCAGCATCACCCATTGCAATTGCTATTACACTACTATTATTATTATTATGAATACTGTATACAGATTTATCTTTCTGTAAATACACACAGGTGAGAACATCATATTGAATGCTACTCAAGGTACCATCACCCGCCTTGCCACTCCACAACCACCCACCACCAACCAAGACAACAACTGTTCCCAAGAACAACAATAATTAGTCTACTACCAATGACCACAATTTCACCATTGGCATCAAGAGCAGCAGCTGTGGAAGAGTCATAACCACCAAACAAATGAGAGACCTTACCTTGGTCACAATTCTCAGCTGTGATTCCTAACTGACTGATGGACTGAGAGAAATTTTCTCCAGTCTGTAGCCTGCTCTTGCTGTGGACTCCTCACTGTACCATAGTACACCGGAATTTTCATACATAATGAAGTTCAGGGATTCAGAGTTGTCAGGGCATTGAGTTTTAGGTCTAAAGAGACAATATGAATTGTACCAACTCTGAAACCTTGAACATGACCCCTTAAACTTAGATACTGCTGCAACAAGATGTGTTATGCTGTGCCTTGTCAGAAGTTATTGCTAGTCTTTCAAAAATGGCCACAGGACTCAGATTCTTAGATGTTTGTACAATGAATGTTCATTGTAACTGAAGATCTAGAATGGCACCTTACTGATTTACTTAAACCAAAGACAAAATGTATGTCATCAAGTTGCAACTACAAAATTACCTCAACTACATATATTTACTTATCACCAGACAAATTTATGTTACAGAATCATTTGGAAAAGGTTCTTTACCTTAATTTAGTTTTTTACCAGTGCTAAGTGAATGTGTATACCGTAGGTAAGGTAAGAGTCCCTGTATGATTTTAATCATGTTTGATAGTCAGCCACACCTCACTAGTCAGAATAAGAGTCACAGATTTTTGTCTCAAAGAGGAGGAACCTGAGATAAGAACACCAAAGTTTTCTAGATGCGTTAGACTATGAATATTCCTTTCCCCATACAAACTTTTCTAACATATCAAAGGAAAGAAGGCTAGACATACTAATGCTATTTTATGGTTTATTCCTAACAATCTCTTGGGTCTACTATGCTGGACAGTGCTTCCCGTGCACTTTCTAAAAGGAATAAAAATGTTTTCATATGTTGTCAATCTTGGTAATTGAATTCAGCAACTGAAGTGAAAGGTTGTTCAGATTCTGATTATTTTCCCATCCTAACATCTTGCCAAAAACCTTTACTTTCATTTACTATACTGTACTTAATTTACTTTATTCTCTTCACCACTTGTCAGCTTACGAGCCATTTGGGTGGTTTGTCAATTCACTGTTAGCAAGTATTGGGCATGTACTTGCTCTTGAATGTACCTGAGCACATTCTAGCATTTGCCAAGTCTGGACTTGAAGCTGCTCACACTTCGTGCTTACTTTTATCCTCTTCACCGCTAATCGGCTCGTTAACTGTTTGGGCGATCGGTCACGTCTCTGATTACTTTTTTCTTTTTTTTATCCTCTTCACCAAATGATCGGCTAGTTAGCCACTTGGGCGATCAGTCACGTCTCTGTTACGCACTGTTGGCAAGTACTGGGCATGCACCGGCTCCTGAATGTACCTGAACCTGCTCCAGTGTTGGTCAAGTCTGGTCTTAAAAGAGCTCACACTCGGTACTGTCACAACACTCTCTAGTAGATTGCTCCAAGAGTTCACAACTCTCACTCCGAAAAAGTTTGCCCTCACAGTTCTCTGGACTTGCGGCTTCTTCAATCTTGAGCTGTGACCCCTTGTGGGGCGAGCGTCCGCCAGCTCCAATTAAGTACACTCGACTGAGTAGTGCCCCTTGAGATGCTTATACACCTCAATTAGGTCTCCTCTTCCTCATCTGTAGTATAAGCTAGGCAAGTTCAGGTGCTCCAATCTCTCAGGGTAGTTGAGGTGCCGAAGTGCAGGCACCAGTCTGGTGGCCCTCCTTTGAACATTTTCAACCAACTGACAGTTCCTAGCATATCCCAAGAACCAGATGGGGTGACAGTACTCCAGATGGGGAAGCACTTCACTCTTGAAGATCGTTACGAGGGACGGACCGTCTAGATATCTGAACGACCTTCTTATAAGACCTAATAATTTATTTGCCTCATTTACCTTCTTCTCGCAATGGCCCGAGAACTTCAGCTCATTGTCAATATACATACCTAGGTCCTTCTCACACACAGTCTCAAATAGTGCAGTTTCTTCATCCCGTTGGGACATATGATACGCCTCCTTACCGTTGGTATGCCCCAGGTGCATCCTCTTACACTTCGTGACATTAAATCTCAGCAGCCATTTCTTCAACCATTCTTGGAGCTCAGAAGATGCTTCTGGAGCTCTCCACAGTCCGCTTGGTTCTTGATTTCCCGAAATAACTTGGCATCATCAGCAAACATTTGTATGGAGGAGTGTACAACGTCAGGCATATCATTTACGAAACAAACAAACAACAGCGGGCCCAATACACTGCCCTGTGGTACCCCGCTTGTGACAGGTACGGATGATGATTTCGTGCCTTTAATCACCACACACTGCTTGCGGTCATGTAGAAAGTCTTTTATCCATGCTAGGGCATTTCCCCAAATTCCATACCCTTCCAGTTTGATTTTCAGCCTTTCGTGGGGTACACTGTCGAAAGCCTTGGCAAAATCTAGGTATATATTGTCGATATTACCACCCTGTTCCAGAATATGGGTCCAAATATCCAATACCTTGAGCAATTGCGTTAAACCGTGTTGGCAATCCCTTACAAGGTTCTTTCGTAGTCTATGTTCCATCGCGGCATCTCTGATAATACTCTCAAGTACTTTACATATTCTGCTGGTCAGGCTCACCAGTCTATAGTTGTTATTGGAATGACAATCGCCCTTCTTGAAGATAGGACTCACATAAGCCACTTTTCATTCACTGGGGACCTTTTGTTTATCCAGGCATTTACAAAACAGGATCTTCAGGGGCTTGGCAAGCTTGTTGCACAACTCTCTTAGCACTCTAGGATGCACCATGTCAGGGCCGGGACTCTTATGGACCTTTATCTTTGACAGTTTATTTCTAATACCCTCTTCTGTGAACACAATGTGAGTCAGTGCTGTGTAGAACCATCTGACCTCAAACGCTGGAAGGTTAATCGCATCTTCTCTTGTGAACAATGAGGAAAAGAAGCTGTTCAATGCCTCGGCTTTATCCTGGTCAGAATCTGCGTGACTACCATCTTCAAGCCTCAGGTCTGATACTCCTACTCGCATTTTTAATTTCGACTTTGCAACCAGCCTCGGGAACTCATTTTCAGCCCTTCTACACTCTATCTTTGCTTGGTTTCTGGCTCTTGCATACATACTCCTGTCCTGTTCATCATTTGACCCAACCTATGTCTTGAATTTCTGGGTTTTCTTCTTAACTTTGTCGACTGCCGCATGGTTCATGTGTAGGGATCCCCTCGTATTCCTAGAGGCACTGGGTTTGGTCTTGGGTATATATTTATCGATCAAATGGGTCACTTTACTAGTTATGATATTCAGCGTAGTGTCTGAGTTCTTGTGCCTTAATGAATCAGGCCAGTGGATACCCCTCATCTCTTCCCTCATCCCGTTGTAATTCCCCTTGTAATATTTGCACCTTGGCCTGGTCTTATCTTGAACTAGGTAACAGTTAAATCTGAATGACAACACTATATGGTGACTGGTCCCAACTGGGGCAAGGTGTTCCAGTTTGGCCACCATACTCTCCTCGTTTGTTATGATGAGGTCTAGTGGCTTGGGTGTTTGCTCCCCTCTGTAATGTGTCGGGTCTCTAACATGTTGGAACAGAAAATTATCTCTCAGAGTTTCTACAAAAAGAGTAGCAGGGTTATTCAAGTCATTTGGGGTGAACTCGTTTCTCCAGTCGATGTCGCCATAGCTAAAGTCCCCCATGATAAGGAGGTAGCCATGGTTGATCATCGCCGCATTGTCTATTAAGGCTCTTAAGTTTCTTTGATTTAGTGGGCCACAGATTGGGGATCTGTAGATACACCCGACAATAAGTAAGTCCCTTCCGTTTAGTTTAGTTTTACACCACTTGGACTCTTCAAAGACATCCTCTCCCTGTACCCTCAACTGGCTGGCTCTAAGGTCTTGCATAGCATAGATAACCACACCCCTCTTGCAAGTTTCTTGACAAAGGTTCGTAAATGAGTCATATCCAGCAATACTGAACTCACATTCCTCTGGGTCGATTCTCATGTTCTTGTACTACAGTTCTATTACTACTACAATATCTGGTTGGTGTACCTTCAGTAGTGTTTCAAACTCCTCTCTCTTATCAAGAAACGTGTCAGTATTAGTGTACATGACATTCAAGTCAGAATTAGTTCTCGGTAACGTCTTTGTTCTTAGTAGTAACCCCCCCCTCATTCTCAGAAGCTGCAGCATTTGCTGAGTACACTGTACTTTACAGGGTGTGGTTAGAAATGTCATTGTTTACAAGGCGCTCGCCTCCTCCCGGCTGATAGGCGGAGCTGGTGCCACCTCCCGGGTGGGGGGTAGAGCGGGTGAAGGGTGCGCTGCTGTTCCCTGGCCCTGTGATAGTATTCTCAGGTAGGTTGCTTCAGGATTTACAACTCCTTTTCCAAAGAAAAGCTCTTGACATTATTCAGTACAGTACTGATAACTTCTTTACCATGATCCTGTGACTTCAAATAGGGTGGCCATCTCTAAGGATATCCGGAGTTAAGAGATGGCCATCTGACTATATTATAGTCAGTATCCTCACATCTTCAGTTTTGAGAAATATTCTTTATGTGAACCTTTGTGTGATTTATCAAAATCTATGAACAAAAATGCACTCTCATGCTGGATTGTCCTCATTTTAAATATTTAATTTTTAATCACCCTACACAGGTATACAGTACCACTATGTGAGACTGAACAAGAACAAATATTACAATCAATTTTTTTTGTTGATCCTGAAAGAGTGTTTATGAAATGTTTTAATATTCTCCTTATGAACATGTTAATATATTGATGACCTATCAATGTGTTTATAATATATGTTTAATCCTTTCTACCCCAGCTGTTAATCTGGGATTCACCTACAGTACATTTTTATAGTCAGTCCACCTGTGTGAACATTAGTTCCAGCAGAGGAGCAGTACACCTTGACTGTTGGTGGTACTGTACTTGGGTCAGTTTTATGTGAAAGACTTTTTTAATGTTGGTAATGATGTTTGGGTTTGTTAGTGTATCATCACGTTTAGTAACACGGTTACTGTTTTAAGAAATAAAAAAATCTTAGTTTATTGTCATTTTTTCCATCCAAGGCTTCTTTTGCTAATTACTATACAGTACTGTATATGTACACAAGAAGTTCACATAGTCCTGTTATGGTTTTAAATTTTATTGTAACAAAATATAACTTCTTAGCAAGGGGCTCTGCCCCCTAGACCCCCCGCCATTAAATGGAAAGTACGTATTTTGATATGTGGTATCAAAGAAAGCAACTTTGTTAAAGTCTCATGGTGTAATTTTACTTTTTTTGTGGACATGAGAGTACACTGTGACCAAGTGGTCGGTTGTAAATAATCTGGGCAGACGAGAACATGTGCTGACTCAGCAGATTTTTCAGAGTATTTTTGGTCAATAATTGATTTATAATCATAGATAGAGAAAAACTAAAAAAGAAGTACTTCGAACAAAATATAAGTTGTTACCTATTTTATAATACTGTACTAGTTAATATTGACAAGATACCCACCGACGTATTCTTTGTGTAGATGTTTCATTTCTTGCTATGTATATTTTCATAGGTGAGTTCTGAAATCATCATTTCTTGGGTAAATGCTTCGTTTAGTAGACAATTAGGTGCCCACATGTACACTACACCACACCCTGAATGTAAACACCCAATCATATTGACACATTTCAAAACACTCCGCGCTCCAATCGACGCCTACGCTTAGTATACGTTTATGAGCTGCTCACTCTGGGTGGTTGCTCTCACTTCCACAAAAAATGTAAAATTACACCATATCATCGACAGTTTTTCTGTTTAATATGCCAGGTGGCGGAGCCCGACGTCGAGGAAGTTAGGTTAGGTTAGGTTGGTGTGGTCTTGTAACAACACTTAATTTACAGTAAAGCTGCAGTTTTAAAATAATTTTCTATGAAAAATCGGCGGTGGGTATCTCGTTAATAATTTAAAAAAAATCATAGTTGATATTATTTTTCGTAAAGGTTTATGAAAGTGCAAACACCAGAAGTTGTTTGTTGTGTTTCTTTATTTTTTTATCTTGTTATTTGGATGATTTTAAGTATATTAAAAGAAACGATAAGTTTCTATTATAATCTAAAGTGATCACTCAGCAGTTGTAGGGGAGAGTATTCACTACAGTATCAACATCATTTTAGGGTAAGTTGTTTAACACAAGTTAACACGATTATGCATATAACCTAATAAAACCTGACCTATTAAACCCAACCTATTGGGTTTGTTAGGTCAGGTTCTA